CTGGGATTGAACCTGGGTCCTCTGCATCCAAATCAACCTTACCTTTAACACCACGCATCTTTTGTTGTTTCCTATGTCTCCTTGTATCCTGATGTCTGAGTTTCTACTCCTGGACTGCTGCACACCTGTTCCTGGTTTCCAGATTAAGTGGCTATTATCCACCTATTTAAACCCTGCCTTGCTTGAGCCTCATTGTCAGATCGTTTTGTTCCTCATTGTGAATATTTGCTGTACGTCTGACGCCTGGTTTGGATCTTTGCCTGTTTCCCATTTCTGCCTGTTTGCCGCCTGTCCTGACCTTTGATTATGTCCACGACTACTCTTTTGGATTATCCTTGCCGGTACCACTGGGGCTGTAAAGACACTATCTCACAACCTTGGAGATTTCTACCTTGAGTCTCCTTTGTGTTACATTGCAAAGGGTGCTTTAACTCTGCAAGTCAGACTCCTCATCAAGGTAAGATCCCTGACATAATGATCTGACCACATGGAGTCTGCAGAGTTAAAGAAAACCATTGCAGCCTTGACCCAGCAAGTCTCCCAGCTTAGCCAGGCTTTGCACGGGTTACCGCATGAACTGACTTCCCTTTAAGGGAGAGTACACTGTGATCCTGAACTCACTGAACCACTGGTTGCTCTACCTGAAAAGTTTTCTGGGATTAGGTCAAAGTATGTCACTTTCAAGTTGGATTGCGAGGTCCTTTTTTTCCCTGAGGCCACTTACATATGCTACAGACTTCATTAAGATGAGGACAGCTATCAACCTGTTGTCAGGGCACCCTAAGATTTGGGCCCACCAGTTGTTGCTCACTAAAAGTCCAGTCCTGGATTCCTGTGAGCCCTTTAATCAGTCTTTGGAATGTCAATGCAATAAGGCGCACAAGTCCTATGTTCCCACAACACCTCCTGTTTTTCTGCATAAATTGCAACCCAAACTGGATATGGACTGTACTGCCCGTTCCCCATTGACATGTGCTTCAGCAGGCTCATCGGCAAACGTCCCAGCAAGCTCAACCCCCTCGAAGTTATCCGAAGCTCCTGAGACATCATATTCATCTGCCTTGAAGGCCTAGGAACCTATGGAGACTGGGCTGGTCCCATTCCGACAGTCACCAAAAGAATGGGCAAGAAGTAGGGCTCATGGACTGTGCTTTTACTGTGGGGAGAGAGGACATTTCATCTCCTATTGTCCTATTCGCCCACCTAGGCCTCAAGCTCTCCAAATGGGTACTACTTATTTATATCCTATGAGATCTGCATGCCAACCTATTACCTGTCCGTGTTTGGCCACCCTGAACATTCCTCTCCCTCCTACAGCTGTTGCTCCTGAGGTCTTGCAAGAACCTGTCTCAGAGAAACCAGATACTCCTATTTCTATGGTTGCTTCAGCTTCGAAGAAGGCAAGTACCACCGCTACTGCTTGTCCTGTCGATAATGACCCTCCTCCTGGCTGCACCTATGCTTCTGATGGGACTCTAGTCCGTAAAGAGGACTTTCCAATCTATGAACTGACACTACATGCTATGAACTCCACTCCTGCTGGTAGTTCCAAGGCTAGAAAATCTAAAAAGAAATCCTCTGGACAGTAAGGATACCTACCTCTTCTTGCTCTAAGGCGTTTTTGAGGGGAGGGTAACGTCATGATCCCCATCATGCTATATTTGGACTTTTGTTCTTGGGCCTGGCTGGTATTAAACCTGGGTCCTCTGCATCCCAGTCAGTGACCTTACCTTTAACACCATGCCTCTTTTGTTGTTTCCTATTTCTCCTTGTATCCTGTTGTCTAAGTCTCCACTCCTGGACCGCTGCACACCTGTTCATTGTTTCCAGATTAAGTGGCCATTATCCACCTATTTAAACCCTGACTTGCTTGAGCCTCATTGTCAGATCGTTTTTTTCCTCATTGTGAATATTTGCTGTACGTCTGACTCCTGGTTTGGATCTCTGCCTGGTTCCCGTTTCTGCCTGTTTGCCGCCTGTCCTGACCTTTGATTACGTCCACGACTACTCTTTTAGATTAGCCTTGCCGGTACCACGTTCTGGAAGCACTGTGTCTTTACAGCCCCAGTGCACTATCTCACAACCTTGGAGATTTCTACCTGAGTCTCCTTGGTTTGTGTTACATTGCAAAGGATGCTTTAACTCTGCAAGTCAGACTCCTCATCAAGGTAAAATCCCTGACAGATGGCCAGTGAGGGACAGGAGAGGGAAGGGATGGATAGCAGTTGTGAACCAATATCAGCTGACAGCTGCTGGAGGTTAATAGAATTAAGGTTCCTCCTGAGTTGAAGGGGGTTAGACTGAGATTGTTGGGTGAGGGGGTACTTGAGAGCAAATGATAAGAGGTGGTAATCAGAGAGAGGAAGTGGAGTGTTGCAGATATTAGATACTGCTCGAGGGCAGCTCCTGGATAGCGGAAAAAGACCAAACCCTAAAGCATTTTTTTAAGTACATAAATTCTAAACAAACAAAAAATGAAAGTGTAGGTACACTAAAAACTGGAATGGTGGTGTTAGTTAATGAAGATCAGGAAATAACAGAAATTTTAAATAACTATTTCTCCTCCATATATATTAAGGAAGAACCCATGGCAATAGATTGCTGCTAAAAACTTGCAGAAAAATTGTAATTGGTTAACTCAAGACAAGGTGCTCCAGCAACTAAAGAAAGTTAATATAAACAAAGCTCCAGGGCCTGACGGTATTCATCCACAAGTACCTAAGGAACTAGGTGTAGAAATAAGTGAACCTCTGTTTTTTAACGTTCAAGATTCTTTTCTTTCAGGAAGTGTTCCAGAGGATTGGAGTAAAGCAGATGTGGTCCCTATATTCAAAAAGGGTTCAACGCAGACCTATACTCTCTCCCGAGATCACAGTCAAACCAAGCAACCAAACATCTACTGGACTCCATAAATGAATACCTCAATACACACACACTACCCACACTAGATAGAGACACGGCGGACCTTGTAGACGAAGAAATCACACCAGAGGAACTAGCCGCAGCTATTAAACGGACGAAACCCGGCAGAAGCCCGGGCCCAGATGGCCTGCCGCTCTGCTACTACAAGACCTACGCGGACGTACTATACAACCCACTCATAGCGACATTCAATGCCATCCAAGAGGGTCATCACTCCCCCAAACAATGCCTGGTGGCGCACATCACCACCCTCCCCAAGGAGGGCAGGGACGGAGAGCACTGCGGAAATTACTGACCCACTTCCCTCATAAACTGCGATCTTAAGCTACTGGCCAAAATATTGGCCACCAGATTACAGATACACATGCCCAAGCTGGTACACCCGGATCAGGTGGGGTTCGTAATGGGGAGGGAGGCACGTGATAACACAATATGCACTCTCACACTGATACACGGCGGCAGGCGCGCGCACGGGGACCTTCTCCTGCTGTCCAAAGACGTGGAGAAGGCCTTCGATAGGGTCAACTGGAAATACCTATTCCAGACTCTGTCATGCACTGGCCTGGGCCTCGGAATTCTGGGATGGATAAAGGCCCTATACACACAACCTTTAGCCCAAGTGATAGTTAATGGCGCACTGTCGGCAATGTTTGACATACAAAACGGCACCCGCCAGGGATGCCCCCTACCCCGCTGCTTTTCGTCCTTGCCCTAGAGCCACTTATGGTGGCCATCAGAAACAACCCAGACTTCAAGGGAGTGATGGCAGGTACAACCCACCACAAAGTAGCGGCGTACGCAGATGATTTGCTCTTCTATGTGACAAACCCAGAAGTATCCCTATCTAACATACTAAAAACCTTCCACGACATCGGTAGGATCTCCAACCTGAAAATAAACCTCTAAATCATTCATACTAAATATCAGCATCCCGGAAAAATGGGCGACACCACTACTCCAACACTACACATTCCAATGGGCAACACACAAAATCAAATATCTAGGTATCTGGCTAACACAGAAAAAGAGGGGGATCTATTCAAGGAAAACTTAACCTCAATACACACAAAGTTCCGCATGGAAATGCAGGAGTGGGCATACCCACACATCTCATGGCTGGGTAGGATACAAGTAGTTAAAATGAATTTTCTCTCTCGTCTTGTACACCTCTTCCAAACCATCCCCATTGCGTTCCCACGCACAGTCTTCACCACGCTCCGCACAGCCCTCGGACAATACGCCTGGAACAGGAAACCACCCAGACTAAAACACGCTCTACTAACACAATCAAAAGATAGGGGCGGCCTGGCACTACCAGATTTCACCCTCTACTACAGGGCCTGTCACTTCCTCCGGATAATAGAATGGACCAAATACGGGGTGCAAAAACAATGGAAACAAGCAGAGGAAAACTAAGCGGGCGCCCCAGTCGCGGTATTGCCATGGCTGCCGCCTGGGACCCGGAACGTGGAGAAGAAATGCTCCCCCTAAACAAGGGCCACTCTGCAAGAGTGGCACCGCACAAAGGGGAGACACGATCTTTCACAATACCCATCACCTCTACTTACACTGACACACAACCCGGACTTTCCACCGGGATTAGACCCAATAGCGTTCAAAACACTAGTACAGGACCCATTACCTAGACTCAGACACGTCAACACGACAAAAGGCATTAAGACACTTAGCGACTTAAGGGGGGACGTAGAACATATTCTCTTGCTGCACCTAAAACATAAACAGATCCAGAGCTACATCGCAGTGCTCCCACAGGGGGCGATTCTATCAAGGGCCAACATCAGCAAGATCACTTTCTGCTAATTTCGACTACGGCCATACCATTCTGAAAGTGCCTGATCTCGTCAGATCTCAGAAGTCATGCAGACTTGGGCCTGCTTAGTACTTGTATGGGAGACCAACTAGGAACCTCAGGTGGCGTAAGCTTTTGTTTATTTCTTTTTCAGATTATGATGTCATAATCAGATCACTTTTTTCCCTAGTCAGAAGCATCTTGTCTTTTGTCGCAACCAGTGTTTGATATTATACCAACATCAGCGAGATCACTTTCTGCTAATTTCGCCTACGGCCATACCAGTCTGAAAGTGCCTGATCTCGTCAGATCTCAGAAGTCATGCAGACTTGGGCCTGCTTAGTACTTGTATGGGAGACCACCTACTTTGAAGAAGCCTGCTTAAACCCAGGCCCGCTAACTCATGGAGTCTCCCTCATATACACCTCACTTCTGACATAAACACCAACCGCACAGCCAAGCTTCGTGGGAAAATGGGAGATGGCCCTGGGCCACACATTCAACAAGGCAGAATGGGAAAAAATCTATTACCTCACGCACCATTGCTCCAGTTTCAGTAAGACACAAAAAACAGCGTACAAATTACTAACACACTGGTACTGCACCCCCACCACACTAAACGCAATTATTCCGGACGACTCCCCCATATACTGGAGATGTGGCAAGGAGAGGGGCACGCTCCTGCACATCTGGTGGGAGTGCAGCAAGATTGTCCCGTTCTGCAAGGGAATGCACACAATAATAGGGCAATTCTCAGAAGACCCACCCCTATTCAGTCCAGCTGAAATGCTCTTATACCACACCAAGTTCCCCCGGTCCCTCTATAAGAAATCACTGACGATATGCAAACTAAACATAGCTAAAATAATCATTCCACAACACTGGAAACAACCGATCACCCCGCCATTGAGAACCTGGTTCACACAAATGGAAGAGTTGAGATGCCTAAGAGATCTCCACACTACCGCGACTAACACACACCAAACCTACCTCAATATATGGACACACTGGCTACTGAAGGTGACAAAACCAGATTTTATGGACAAATCATAGGCCCAACAACAGGGACAGAATACAAACCCCAACACGCCACAGACTCTGGATGATGACCGAGGCTCTCCCATTACTACCACCTCAGTCACCCCTACCCACAGACCACAACCTCCACAAGACGACAGGGACCATCTAGAACTACGGTTGAAAGGGTAACCTGTGAGGCACACATAGAGGAAGCCCACTACACAGACAGGAGTTTAACAACTTCAGTGGAGCAGGTGGGATGAAGCACAACCGCCGCGGACCACCTAGGGATGGGGGCATCTCACCCTACCATGGACACCGGTACATAACGGGCAAAAGATAGAACAGGGCCCGCTGATAGTCAAACACGCCACACAGATAGTAGCCAGAGGGCATGAGATATGACCAGAACGGTATCAGCACCTTACAACTAGAAGGACTGCGGATCACCTATTAAACCTCATAATGCTACAATCTTGATGTCTTGATGGGACCTGCGAGTCCTCTTTATGCCTGGGGCCTGTGAGCCCACACTATAACATACTTATGCAAAACTGATGGTCTTCCCCTTTTTCTTGTCAAGAGACGGACCTGCGAGCCCAGTCAATGTACTTGTTAACTGGCGTTTTCCCAAAATGGTAAAACAATAAAAATGATATTAACAAAAAAAAGGGTTCAAAATCCTTGCCTGGAAATTATAGACATGTGAGCATAACTTCTGTAGCTGGAAGAGTATTGGAAATGTTATTAAGGGATAATATTCAAGAATTCCTTGAGAAGAACATGGTTATCAGCAAAAATCAGCATGCTTTTATGAAGCCCAGGTCATGTCAAACTAACTTGATTGCATTCCACGAAGAAGTAAGTAGAAGTATAGATCAAGGTGTTGCAGTGGATGTGACCTATTTGGATTTTGCCAAGGCATTTGATGCAGTTCCACACAATAGATTAGTGTTCAAACGTAAAGAAATCGGCCTAGATGAAAATTTTTGTTCTTGGATAGAACATTGGCTTAAAAAGAGAGTACAAAGAGTTGTCATTAATGGTACATTTTCAAGCTGGACAAAGGTGGCAAGTGGTGTCCCTCATGGTTCTGTTCTGGGACCCCTTCTATTTAACATGTTTATAAATGATCTTGAAAAAAAGCATTGAAAGTCATGTTTCAGTGTTTGCAGATTACACAAAACTCTGTAAAGTAATGCAATGTGAACAAGATATTACTTTGCTGCAGAGGGATTTAGATAGACTGGGGGACTGGACACTCAAATGGCAGATTAAATTTAATGTTGAAAAATGCAAAGTTATGCACTTTGGCGTAAATAATGCACAAGTAACGTATACCCTTAATGGAAGCGAATTAGGGATAACAACACACGAAAAGGACTTGGGGATTGTTATAGACAACAAACTATGCAACAATGTGCAATGTCAATCAGCAGTGGCTAAGGCTAGTAAGGTATTGTCATGCATGAAAAAGGGCGTTCATTCTCAGGATGAGAATATAATTTTTCCTCTTTATAAATCACTGGTAAGACCTGTGCAATTTGGAGCACCGGTTCTAAAGGATATTATGGCACTAGAATAAGTGCAGAGGCGGGCTGCAAAATTAATAAAAGGAATGGAACATATTAGCTATGAAGAAAGGTTAACAAATTTAAACCTCTTTAGTTTAGAAAAACGTCGCCTCAGAGGGGATATGATAACATTATACAAATATGTCCAGGGCCAATACATACCATTGTGTGAAAATCTATTCACAAACCAGGCTTTACATAGGCTACGAGGTCATGCATTTAGACTGGAAGAAAGAAGATTTTGTCTAAGGCAAAGAAAAGTTATTTTTTTACTATAAGAACAATAAGGATGTGGAATTCTCTGCCTGAAGAAGTGGTTTTATCAGAGTCCAACTAGATGCATACTTGCAAAAATAATATTCAAGGATATAATTTTTCAATGTAGGGTAATAGCTTCTTGATCCAAGGATTAATCTGGCTGCCATTCTGGGGTCAAGAAGGAATATTTTCCATAGTTTGTTGCAAAATTGGAAGTGCTTTAAACTGGGTTTTTTTTGCCTTCTTTTGGATCAACAGCAAAAAATAAATGTGAGGAAGGCTGAACTTGATGGACGCAAGTCTCTTTTCAACTATGTAACTATGTAACCCCGAAAATGTCTGGCTTTCTACACTGTCCTACCAAAAGCAGAAATGTTGGGAGTTCTGCTTTCAACATCTCCACACTCTGCATGGAGACACTGAATGCTTTTCTTAGAAAGGCATTGACTCAATGGATTTCTATGAAGAGATACTGTTTGGTGCAGCACAGTGATTTCCCATGCATGTGCACTAGTCTCCCAATGCTTTCCTATGGGGAAGCATTGGATTGGCTGAGATCATCAGAAGGCTGGGCGGGACGAAAGTTAATAATTTTTTCTTCTTTGAGGGTGATAGGCCTCTGACTAGTCACTAGAAACATGTTTGTATTCCTACCTCAAACTGATGGAAAACTGGTGGTGTGGCCACAACTTGACCCACAAGCTGCAGGGGGCCCGTCGAGTGAACCTCACACTTATGGCCACTCAATGTGCATCACTGATCAGCGGCCCTGTTGGGCACTACGACTGGGCTCCTGTCAGACCAGCATTGCTGGGGGAAATGGAGTTCAGGTCACTTCCACTTTAAGGAGAGAGTCGCATTGGCTTTGAGGAGGCACAGAGAGGGGAATGGGGAGAGCAAGCACTATCCCCAGACATCCATCAGCCAGGAGCCTGGACCCCAGAAAAGCCACTGTCCCTTTACCCAAAAGTATGGAGACAGGAAGGAGGCTAAACTTCTGTAAATCTTTATAACTTCTATATGTGTGTGTGTGTCAGTGTGTATGTGTATCTATTTGTCATTGTGTATCTGTATGTGTATATATGCGTGTGCATCTGTGTTTATATATTAATGTATCTGTGTGTGTATGCATTTGTGTAGCAGTGTGTAAGTATCTGTGTGTGTAGCAGTATAAAGGTGCATAAATCTGACCATTCAGATACCAGCATTACACACACACACACAACTGCATTCTAAATGCCAACACTACACATGAATACACCACTGCAATCAAACTACACCACCACAAAAACACACACAGCCCTGCTTTCAAACATCAAAACTACATACAAACACATCCCTCCAATAAAACAACAATTCTACTTACACATACACCCTTGCATTCAAATAACAAAACTGCATACAAACATAAACTGCATTCATAAACCTACGTTATACCAAAATACACACCTACATTCACACACATACTCCACACAAAAACATGCTAAAATTGAAACACACTACCCACAAATACAGCCGTGCAAGGATTGCTAAATATTACATTCCCAGCTTTGTGGGCGTTGTATAACATTTAATAATCTACCTTTTTGGCCATCCTTGCGCTACAGTGGAATTCTACAAATACCTTGCACCAGGGCCCTCTCTGTTTTAGTTCCACATTTTAACACTTGTTCCACTCAGGGTTTTGTTTTTTTTAAACCCAGACACAATTCTAGCTCAAACACTCCAAGCTTTATTAATTACTGTGAACAATGTCCAGATTTTGCATTCAGATGGTTTTGCCCCATTAGTACGGGGCCACTCCGTCATTACTGGATAATCCTGTATAGTGATGTGAATACCAACCTTTAGCAACATTAGAATACCTGGCCATATCCTCTGGCCCAACACTACCATAACTACAGGTTATGCCACTTTAGTGTTGGGGACACTTGCCAGCTACTCTCCAACAGACAAAGTTTCTTGTTTTAGTTATAAGTGTAATGGCCAGTTGTGTACTGATAATGCTATAGTTGTGTGTGTTAGTGCACTCACATTTCCCTCTGTATACCATTAAGTGTTCTCACAAAGGATTGGAGCAGGAATACTACCTGATGTTGGAGCTATAGCGTAAAGGAAATATTGCACCTGAGGTAAAACTGTATGAGTGATGACTGACACATCCCTATTCAGCTTATACTGTTTGACTCCTATTATGCAGTGGCTTGGGTTTTGCAGCTCTGACATCAGATTCCGAATTATTCTTAGTATCCCTAACAATGATCAGTTTCATGTTACCTTTTATGTGTGAAGTTTCATGATGTGAAAATCCACAAAACACCTTTCCAATACTATAGAAGTCATAAAGTCTATTAAAGGGACACTATAGTCACCAAAACAACTGTACTCTTAATGAAGCAGTTTTGGTGTATAAATCATGCCTCTGCAGTCTCGCTGCTCAATACTCTGCCATTTAGAGAATCACTTTGTTTATGCAGCCCTAGTCATATTTCCCTGCATGGGACTTGTACAGCCTTCCTAAACACTTCCTGTAAAAAGAGAT